ACTCCAAACTCTTAAAGATGTTAGACATTTATTCAGATACATTATTTTTAGTGGTGCCTGTCTCGATTGGAGATTCACTAAACAAGCTTTAGTTTAGCACCATCCAGCACATTTTAAAAATGGACACTGGCATGTTTGCCATTCATTTTTGATATGCTATATAATGAAACTTACAGGCTTGCACCAGTGCAGTGCTCACACAACAGAAATCCCCTGTCACTGCCTCCTGACTGCACTCCCTCAAGCCCCAGGAAACGTCTGATATGTGGGGTCAGGGACTGCAGAGGGAGAATCAAGCAGAGACAGCATGCTGATTGCCAGGGACTAGGCAGAGGAGGAATGGTGGAGAATGCCTCTCCAGCCTGGCCCTTCCAGAGAAAAAGAAGAAGACAGTTCAGAATTACAACAGGGGTTTGAGGGAGGTCACAGCTCAGAGGAAGATGGGGGGGGGAGTTGGGAAATAATGGGAGACGAGGAGGAGGCAGAGGCAGAGCAGCTGGCTGACATGTTATCACTAGAAAGCATTCCAGACCCACCATCTCCCAGAACCTGGTGAACCTTAAAAGTAGGAGAGCAAAGAGCTGGAGACAGGTGGTCCTAAGCAGCAACAACAGTAAGGGTGGTGGTGCTGTTGATGAATGAGGAAGTGGAAGAAAAGGGAGATGGAGATTTACTCGGGACAACACCATTATTCCAAGGGGCTGCATTCTCAAGCCTCTCTCTGCAAATATTGAATAAAAAGCAGATGGTAAGGACTTTTCCTGGTCTTATCCGTTCCTGGCAACCTGCCGTGTAGGTTGGTTCCTCTGCTGCCTGACGCTGATCCTCAGGAGAGATTTTTTGGGGGTAGGTGCAGCAAGGAGGAGGAAGAACAGGGGATTCTCCCCACCCTTTCATGCTTGCACTGCATGGGATGCAACCCAACATTTCTTATTTACTTTCACTGAAGAAAGCTGTATCATTTAACTTCATGTGGTTGGATGAGCTGGGAGAGTGCAAGAGAAAAGTATGGTCTTCATGACCATAAATCTTGTTTATTTATTTTATCACTTATTAGAACACCTGAAGAACTTGCTGGATCAGGCCAATGGCCCATCTTGACCAACCGCCTCAGGTGGCAGGATCCACAAGGGGAGTAGATCCTGATTCTTCCCCCCTAGTTCCTGATGCACATCCTCCCTCGCCTCTTCTTCCCTGGCAGGGAGGGGGGCACCATTTTGGGGACTGCCAAAGAGAAAGAGAAGAATCCCAAACCAGTTGTAGGTGTGTGATGAACCCCTACCAGGGATGTCCAACAGGTTGATCACGATCTACCGGTTGATCACGGGGGCGTTCCTAGTCGATCCCGGTCAATCGCGTGTTCCTCCTCCCAAAAAGCTCAACAACTTTGGGTCTCTCTCCCCCCAGAAATGCTCAACAACTTTGGTCAATCCAATGGGTAGATCACTGCCAGTGATTTTATAGTGGGAGTAGATCACAGTCTCTTGGAAGTTGGACATCCCCTAAAGGAGTGTGATTTATAGAAGGTTGGGAAATTGACAGAAAGTACAATCTTGTTTAGGGACGCGGGTGGTGCTGTGGTCTAAACCACAGAGCCTAGGACTTGCCGATCAGAAGGTCGGCGGTTCAAATCCCCGCGATGGGGTGAGCTCCCGTTGCTCGGTCCCTGCTCCTGCCAACCTAGCAGTTCGAAAGCACGTCAAAGTGCAAGTAGGTAAATAGGTACCATGCCGGCGGGAAGGTAAGCGGCGTTTCTGTGTACTGCTCTGGTTTGCCAGAAGTGGCTTAGTCATGCTGGCCACATGACCTGGAAGCTGTCTGCAGACAAATGCTGACTCCCTTGGGCCTATAGAGCAAGATGAGCGCGCAATCCCAGAGTCGTCCACGAATGGACCTAATGGTCAGGGGTACCTTTACCTTTACCATTCTGTTTAAGAACCCGAGTATTAAGACTAGATTAAGACCAGTGAAAAGAAGCTGTGCATTCATCACCTTGTTTAGAAGCCTGTAACATAGGGTTGCCATACGTCTGGAATTTCCTGGACATAGCCGGAATACTGCAATTGGAAGCAGTGTTTGGGTGGAAATCGCTTAAAATGTTCGGGGAAAACCCAGACGTATGGCAACCCATGTTGGCGGTGTCGGTTTTAGTGATTTTCCTTAAATCCTTAAAGAGCTCAACAACTTTGAGCAAAAAAGGGCTCAACAACTTTTGTGTCTGGATTTTCACTTTTTGAAATATGGCAATCCCACCATACACTGAATTTGGCATATACTGTACATAGTTTCCTGTTTCCTGAAATAATTCTTGACACATTCTTTTTTTTACTCATTTTGTTCTCAAAATACATTCTTTTTTCCTGTTTATCTTCCCTAAGTCTCCAATTACCAGAATTCTCTTTAGAAAAAAATAAAAAAAAATTAGCCAGTAGTTAAGAGGGGGTTCGCTGCAGTTGAACTTCCTGCCTCTCTAGGCCCTTATCACACAAGAGAGACCTGTGTGGATGCTCAGAAGGGAACACCTGCCTCCGTGAGTCCTCCCCTCCTTCATGCTTACAGAAGTGTGGCCTTTACTTTGCATTCTTCCCCCGCAATTTCCTTTGTTAAGAGATTTCAAAGGCTTAGATTAGTGATTGAATGTAATTTCCCTCTAAGCAGTAGGTGACTTTATTGATTGCTGCCCAGATACCTTGTAAACTGCTTTTTTTATTAGACTCTTTTACCTCTAATTCAAATTGTTAAGCAGTTTCTCACCTTCTAGTCCTAGGGTGATGAAAGTGCAGTTTCAGATGCCTGCAGGCTCACGTTCACCATGCACTGAGAAGCATCTATGGGCCAAATCAGTTGTCACATGGCTTTCTGCTCTTCCACTTGCTCAGACTAATTATTGCTGCCAAAATGGACATGCATGCTAAGTAAGAAATGAGTTAAATCTTGTGCTGACCCACTTTTAATCATGTGAGATGAATACTTTACACTTTCTAGTATCCACAGCCAGGAGATAATGTATCCTCCCTCACTCCTAAGCTTTCTTCTCTCGATTCCTCTTTTATTTCCAGCATTCCTTTCATAGCTCTCTCTTCCCTCTCTGTGTTTTGAACACATGTACTGTAGTTAGAAATGGGATGTTATGAAAGGGAGAGCTTAAGAAGGAGAGGCGATCGTTTCAGACATTTACGGTATTATCCAAACCCAAGATCTGCCAGGTTAAGACAATTTAGGTTCGGAGAATCTTTGACTTTCTTGGCTGAGCCAGGGCTACACTGTGCCTACATTGGAACAAGCTGAGCTGAATTTAAAGGTAAAGGGACCCCTGACAGTTAAGTCCAGTCACGAACGACTCTGGGGTTGCGGTGCTCATCTCGCTTTACAGGCCGAGGGAGCCGGCGTTTGTCCACTCCACAGACAGTTTTCCTGGGCGCAACAGAACACTGACACCAGAGCAGCGCACGGAAATGCCATTTACCTTGCCGCCAGAGCGGTACTTATTAATCTACTTGCACTTTGGGGTGTGCTTTCGAACTGCTAGGTTGGCAGGAGCTGGGACTGAGCAATGGGAGCTCACCCCGTCGCGGGGATTCGAACCGCCGACCTTTTGATCGGCAAGCTCAAGGCTCAGTGGTTTAGACCACAGTACCACCTGCGTCCCATGAGCTGGATTTAGGCTATTGTAAACCCCTGGAGCCAGGGGTGCCACTTGAATAAAATGTGGTGCACACACACCTTTTGAATGGCAATGCCTATCAACTTGGGGGGGAGGAGCAGCCCCCTCAAATATTTTATGGGGGGGTGAAGGGATGTCAGCCCCTAGGAGCAGGCTCCTATGGCTGGAACTCTTCTGGCTCAGATAGCAGAATTTACAGCAGCAGAACTTTTGCAGGCATAGCTTCGCTCCAAAAAAGGTGTTTGGAGTGAGAGCAAGGCAAGGATAGACACTGATTCCAGTTCCCTTTCAGCTCAGTAGCAACTCAGCAGAATTTAGCCAGCTCAAAGGGTGGTTTAAGACAAATTCCTACTGAATGGGATTTGGAATAGGGGCAACTTAATCCGGCCTAAATTATGCTGGCTTAAATTGCACTGGTTTTCCATAGCTAGGATTGCTCTGATAAACACAGTTTCTGATGTTCATGGTATAGATGGGATGACTAGATGCAAAAGAAAACTGGTTTCTTTTGCATTTAAGAGAAGAGGGAACTTTAACAGGTGCAGAGGAAAGAGAAAAGCAGAAAAAAAATTGATCTTGCAGATCTCACTAAGCAGTTACCAGTACTCTCTAAACCAGAGGCAGAGAACCTGCAGCCCTCCAGATATTGTTGGACTGCAATTCCCATCATCTATGACCATGGTTCGTGGTATGCTTTTATTCAACTTTTTCAATATCCAACACATATTGGAAATTAAAGTCTATTTTGTATTTCCTCCCTCTCTCCCATTTGAAAATATATGTGGGTTGAGCGAGTGTTTGCAATTCAAATGGAGAATTTTGTCCTGAAGGTTTATATTATATTTTCCTGTGATCTTTCAGTCTTCAACTCAGATGCTGCATTGCAACCCCCCCCAAATGTTTTATCTTTCCTCAAAATATGATAAAACACTATACAGTGGTACCTCGAGTTAAGTACTTAATTCGTTCTGGAGGTCCGTTCTTAACCTGAAACTGTTCTTAACCTGAAGCACCACTTTAGCTAATGGGGCCTCCTGCTACCACCGCGCCGCCAGAGCCCGATTTCTGTTCTCATCCTGAAGCAAAGTTCTTAACCTGAAGCACTATTTTTGGGTTAGCGGAGTCTGTAACCTGAAGCGTATGTAACCTGAAGTGTATGTAACCCAAGGTACCACTGTATGTTTATTCTGCAAATGTGGCCCCCTTGACATTGTACCTGAAATAGGATTTTGCCATCTATTGAGTCAAAACCTAGTTCCATCTAGCTCAGTATGGACCCTGCACTGACTGGCAGTGGCTCTCCAAGGTTTTAGACAGGGGAATTCCCAGGCCTACCTGGAGATGCCAGGGATCAAACTTGGGACCCTTAGCATATAAAGCAAATGCTCTACCACTGAGCTATGGAGATCAGCTGAACCTGGCCAGCTCTTGTCTGCTATCTTCCTTCAAATCACATTACCATTGTGTAGATGTCTCCCACCTGGGAGACAGTATCCTTCACTTGGCAACTAAATTTGCATGTGTCTGGTGTAGTGGAACTCAGGATATGCCTGCATGCCTTTCAGGATGCGAGGCTCCTGTCATATTAGAGTTATGCCAACCTTATTATTAATGGCATGATCTACAGTGATAAACCATAGAAATAAGTTCAGATCCACACACCCCCATTACAGGTCCCCTCGTTATTGGATTCATGCTTCTACATGTCATCTAACTCTCCTTTGGTACTGAAATCTTATGCATTCTTAGAGGATGTGGAAAGTCCGTGCCTGTCTGGCCACCCATCATATTAGTAGTTGAATGCAACCATCATGGGGTGGGACTTCCTATGAGGTCATATGACACCAGATGTCAAACAGAGTTTGATGGGAGGTATACACCTAATACTATTCATAAAGGTAAAGGTAAAGGGACCCCTGATCATTAGGTCCAGTCGTGACCTAATGGGGCTCATCTCGCTTTACTGGCCAAGGGAGCCAGCGTACAGCTTCCGGGTCATGTGGCCAGCATGACTAAGCCGCTTCTGGCAAACCAGATCAGCTCACGGAAACGCCATTTACCTTCCCGCCGGAGTGGTACCTATTTATCTACTTGCACTTTGACGTGCTTTCGAACTGCTAGGTTGGCAGGAGCAGGGACCGAGCAACGGGAGCTCACTCCGTCGTGGGGATTCGAACCGCTGGCCTTCTGATCGGCAAGTCCTAGGCTCTGTGGTATAACCCACAGCGCTACCCACGTCCCTTCAATACTATTCATATATCACCCCCAACTCAGAGATGGGAAGCCTTAGGCCATGGGGGAGGGGCAATGTATCCCTTCAGACCTCTCTATCTGGCCTCTGGAATTCTCCCCAGGCCACGCCCACTCCTCAGCCACTCCCACTCTCTGCAGGCCACACTCCACATCAGCCCTAGTTCCTGCCCTCCTTAAGTGTTTTTGCCTGGCTTGAACAGGTCCTTTAACTCTGACATTGTCTATTGGTTGCTGGGATGGAAGATAGAGAAAGGTATTTGAGTGTGTGTAGAAACTAGACAATTCACACTTCCGGGGTGGCGCCATCGGCAATGGCGGACTCCCTCTGAACAGGAGGGACTAGCTCCGCGGGAAACGGGTCTTTTCCGCTACGGCGAAGCGGGGACCCTTTTAAAAATCACAGGCGGATGAAGCCTGTGACCATGGGACTCGGCGGGCACCTTTAGCGCCCCCCCAACTCGCTAAGGAACCCACTAATGGGCTCCGAAGTGAAGAGGGGGAAGTGGCGCGGTGCTGTGAGTCAATTGCTATTTCCGTGGAGCGAAGCCGCACAGCCGTTGCCGGAGAACGCTGCCTTTTTCCTGGGACAATTTGGACTCTAAAATAAGCACCCGTGAGTACTTAGACTTTGAACAACTGGACATTAGATAAGGACTTGCGAGCAGAAAGGAATTGGATTTTAAAAACCTATTTAAATTTGGTACGGAACGGGAAGGTTTAAACAGGAAGTCAGCCTTCCGTTCTTCTGTAGACAGAATAAAGCAAAGACAACATAAACTAGAGCTTAGAAAATCGCCTTTAAAGGATTGGATTTCATCATTTAAAATTGTGGAACCCCCCTTCGACAGCAGGAGAAGGAGGGGGATCTTTTCTGGACTGTTTAAAGTGAGTTTAAAGTAAAGTAACTTTCCTCCGTCCTGATCCTGGAGCGGGGTGTCAGGACTGACGTTTGAAGTTCATTGACCAGAGACAAGCATTTTGACAGATAGCTAAAAGAAGAGAAACATAGCGATTCCACTGCTCCCTTCGCATCTTTAAGCAACAAATATTGACAAAGTATCTCAAAAAGGGAAATTTTGTTGCAAGAACAAATAGAAGTTTTCCCCCTAGAGGGAGACTGTGTAACTGTAACTAACTCCAGAGAGCCGGCAGCTGTTACAGATAACAATCGTGGGAACAGGTATTCGACCTTGCAGGACAATGTGTTCAGAAGCTTTGTTGTGTGCTTTCTATAAAACAAATGCCCTACTGGAACAATTACATGGAAAGGTGAATTGGATGGCGACTTCGACTAGAAATTTTCAACAGGCAGTGGGAAATTTTGAACAGACAGTGGGAAAATATGTGGAGCCCACTCAGGAATTAAATCAGGAGTGTGTCCTGACAGAACAGGCCCAACAGGAATATGAGTTTTCGGATTTGACAAATGAACTTGGAAAAAGCCAGATTTGGAAAAAAAAGTTTGGTTTGGCTTGGAAATGGGGGGCTGGATTGACCCCCCTATGCTGGGATGTTTGGACTTTTCAAATCTGACAATGGACCATGAGATGTTTGGGATTGTGGGGGCTCTTAATTTCGGAGGGTCTTTGAAACATGCTTTTAAATACAATATGGAACTCAGTGTTGAATATGGAAAAGGGGCTGATCTGTCGAGAAGGGTTAAAAATATTGCCAAGCTGGAGTGACCACGAGCAGGAGACAAGGGAAAATGCAGTTACAAATATGAAGAAGAGCTGCGGAAGGGACATGGAAGAGACTTGAGGGCCTCGGATATAAGGCTGCCAGGTTAATGGGCTAGATTGACGGGATAATAAGGACTGACAAAACCCGGAACCAGGAGGAAGGGACGTTGGATGAAGATTGGATTTGTTTGTATTTCTTCTTTCTACCATTAGAACTGTTTTATAAAATTGATGAATGTTAGAAAAATGTTGGAATGAAACTACTTGGCTTTAGTAAAGATGTTTAAAGAATTATGAAAGAATATTATGGTTATGAGAAGTTGGTAAGGATAAGATTTAAGTTTTAAGCTTTAAGGTTTATTTTATTATAGAAAGATAAGATTAAAACAGTTTAGGGTAATGTAATGACAGAATATTATGAAATATGGAAAGGATTTGCTGGGATAATTAATAACTAGGATACAAAGAAAGGGAGGAGGAGGAGGTCAAAGAAAGAAGGTAATGACAGTTGAGGATATGAGAATAATGAATTTGTTTTTAAATGTTTTTTAATTGTGTGTGATATATTTTTGTATTTTTTTTCTTTTTGTCACTTTTTCTTATTTTTGAATTTGTATTCATACGGTTGGAAGGGGTTTGTTTTTTTTCCCTTTTTCTACTTTGTTAATTATTTTTATTTTGTATTTTCTACTGCTTTTATTTTATTTGGTAACACTTTGAAAATTTCAATAAATATCTTATAAAAAAAAATAGAAACTAGACAATTCACAAAGGCGACACTGATTACATTGCTTTGTCCATTTTGCCTTGACCACTGGGCATGTGACCTGCAGAACGTTACTCAAGTGGAAACGGGACCATTTGTGAGAAAACAGTTCCCTCTCCCTGCCCTGAATATTTGGATTACCCGACATATTTTCAGATAATGCTCCTCCGAGATAAGTGATACTCACGGGTTATAGTCACTTGCAAAAGAAGTGTATTGTATTCCTAAAAGTATGCGAAAGTTCTCCCTACATCTGCCATGCCTGCTATTCCAGACCATTTCCCCCGCCCCCATCTCTGAACACGATGGCTTAACGTGGCATTCCACATCCTGACAAGAAATTGGTTTTCATTTGAAAGGAAACATTGATGTTTCTTAATTACTTTCTATTCTAAATCAGAATGAATTGTGAAATGTCCAAAACATCAATGGAGCTTTGAACCAGGCATGTCAAAATGGAAGCATCTACATTTTTTTTTTGCTCTGAACCACTGATTAAACATTTCAAAAAAATGACACACTTTGTTACAGTTTTCATTTCAAAACGAGAGAGAGAGAGAGAGAATGAGAGAGAGAGAGAGAGAGAGAGAGAGAGAGAGAGCACTCCCCCTCTCCTATTTTTTGTGTCTTGGGGAAGAATGAACAATGTTTAAAATCAATACATTTGCCTATAATGAATATTTAAAAGGTGATGAAGCAAACCACTTACACCGGTGTAGTTTATTCAATATGATCCAATCTCCTCTGACCTGTAAATGATGGCAGGCAGACAGTTATTGCTATATTGGTCCAAGGGAGAAAGAAACACCTTTTGGAAGCCTGGTGATATATTTCAGTGGTATACATTTTGATAAAGGAGACGTGTGCACAACTTTCAAGCTTCATCTAAGTAGTTATACATTTATTATTACAGGCCTAAGATTTCAGTTTCTGCCTATTGGTGTTTCCTTTTCCTGTCATTGGAAAACAAAACAAAAATCCACCTACCTCTCTGATGTGCTAAATCTCTTTAAGTGTGGGACTGTATTCCCTCATCTTTACACCCTGACCGAACCTTATATGAGCCTTAGGATGCAAAGGGAGAAATGCAAAGGGAGCAGGAAGAAAAGACATGGAAGATGAAATCACATCCGTGTAATTTTGGGTCGCACATGCTGCCTTGTAGCAGTCCCATTACCAACACCACCTAGGCTAAGTATACATTTGTTAGCAGCTTTAAACACAGCAAGGTCATTTACCCCTGCAGCATTTCAAGTGATTTTTTTTATGTTGATGTACAAGCCAAAGAGGGACGCAGGTAGCGCTGTGGGTTATACCACAGAGCCTAGGACTTGCCAATCAGAAGGTTGGCGGTTCGAATCCCCGCGACGGAGTGAGCTTCCGTTGCTCGGTCCCTGCTCCTGCCAACCTAGCAGTTCGAAAGCATGTCAAAGTGCAAGTAGATAAATAGGTACCACTCCGGCGGGAAGGTAAATGGCGTTTCCGTGTGCTGCTCTGGTTCGCCAGAAGCGGCTTAGTCATGCTAGCCACATGACCCAGAAGCTGTATGCTGGCTCCCTCGGCCAATAAAGCGAGATGAGCGCCGCAACCCCAGAGTCGGTCACGACTGGACCTAATGGTCAGGGGTCCCTTTACCTTACAAATCAAAGAGCAGGTGGGGATGTGTTCATCTGATCTGCATGATCTGACTTGTTTCCCCGTGTTGACT